CTGGACCCAAAGAACGCAAAGTTTGGGAGGCTTGCCACATCAGTGGTGCTGCCCCTGTTTACTCTCCTCTCTTGCGTGACCTCAAACTTCTGGATGGAGGTCTTGTAGCAAATAATCCCACTCTGGATGGAATGTCTGAAATTATTGAGCAGGGGAAGAAGGAAGGGAAGCCAGTAAAGTTTGATTGTGTAGTGTCCATTGGCACAGGGACTTCTCCGAAAGAAGAAAACGATCATGTAGAGCTCTTTGCGACTTCTCTCTTCTCAATCTTAAACCCAAAGAATGTCCAAGCCTCTAAGAACCTTTTAACTCACTTCATGAAGAAGGCAACTCTATCAGATGGTCAGGAAGTAAGTCGTGCTAAGGCCTTTTGTGATGTACTTGGCTGTCAGTACTTTCGGCTTACCCCACCGCTGTCAACCGATGTAGGGATGTCTACAACTGATGAGGAAACACTCATTGATATGCTGTATGAATCTCAAATGTATTTTTTTGACAATCCTGAGCTGATTGATGGCATTGCAAAGTGTTTGCTATCAAAGTAGGGTTTGTCACACTTTTTGACAGATCAGTTTTTATTCCAAAACTACTAATAACATTAATAATATATAGTGCATTCACAGTTTGTGCTTAGCTACAATGATTTATGATAATACCTATTTAGTTATGATAAAATGGACTGTTTTATGGTTGATAATAAATATTTAGCATCATCATCTATGATCTGTGGATTATCAAGGCAGTACATCTTAGAGTTTTAACAACAATAAAAGCTAAGCTATGTAGATCATGCAATTAAAAATAGCTCTAGTGTTACAAAACTACACACACATCTGCTACTACGTAGACTACAGCATTTCATACCAAATCTACACCTTTTTGTAAACTTAATTTAATTTTATTAAATTAAATTAAATTTAAAAACATAGAATGCATTAGGCCCGCAGTGATTAGATTCATTGTTTCTCATCGCCGCCCGCACGGTAAATTGTTGCGCATGACAAATAGTTATTACAAGAGCACGTGTTCAGTCGTGTTGTTACTTGCTAGCTGTCCTCACGTCGGCCATTAGTCTCCTTTTTAACAACCGAGGTGCAAATATGATGAAATAGCTGTCTCTGACACACCGGTGGTTAATCTCTCAGCTTGTTGAAACTCACTAGAGCTGTTCTCGCTAGTTATTTCGTGTTTATTGTGTTGGACCTCTTGGCGCCTAGGTATAAATGTCAGTAGTAGCGTCTAAAATGCATTGCCATAATGGGTATTATGTTACTAAGGAGACTCATTTTACCACTTTTCACTCCTGCATGTTCATGATGGGTTGGGTTGCATGTTCATGATGGGTTGGGTTGCATGTTCTGTTCAGTGGCCGTTAGTGCAATGCCGCACTTTTTCATAAACTATGGTCAGTTGTAAAAAGAGTTGAGTACCTGGCTGGCACATTTTTGTATTTCTCTCTTGTGGTTGCAGATGTAGATACATGATTAGCCATAGCAGTACACGAAATATTGCTCTTGTATTTACTATTAATAGTTATTAATGTTATTGAACAATTCAATTAGTCAATCAACCTTAATAACTAGTATTAAATTTGCTACTAACTATGCTTCAGTCACTATTAGTGACTATTCACCCTTTTATGCTTACCTCATTGAATGCTTACTCTTTTTAAAAATAAAAGTTAATATATTTAGTACAGTTATTTATCAGTTAATGTTGTGATAAGTTGATAGCCAAATACAAGTAAATACATGAAAGTAAATGGTGTCAGTAAAAGTACATACAATATAGAAAAGTTAAAATACAAGTAAATACATGGTAGATGAAAGGTGGATACATGATGCAATGTCTGTGTGGTTGGCCTTTGCGGTTGCTATTTATTGGTATGTCTATGCATTGTAATCAGCTTGCCTAATTGATGAAGCCATGTGAAATAGTACATAGCCCATGCAGACAATCAGTTATGTTTAGCTACAATTAATTTTATTTTAGCATGTACTTCCTTTCATGATAATGATTTTTAAATTTTTTTTCCTTTGTCATCCTTATTGTTAGCTCATGCAGTTTATCCTCCTAGTGAATCATGTCTCTTATAAACTCTCCGCATAGCGGACAAATGATAACTTAGCTTTGTGTGTTCATGTATGTATACATAACCTGCGCGTTACCTCTCACCTCCAGATCAAAGGCCTGAAGCCACATTAGCTAAGGTGGAGCCTGGTTATAGCCACTCCCCTGGTTGGCAAAATGCAGTACAAACGAATGGAAGAAGAGCCTATGAAAAGCAAATGCACAGTTCTTCTTACATCTATGCTTCAAGTTAGAGCTGCTCCTTCTGCTATAGACACCTATGAATCAGTGAGGAGCCTCTTTGCTGCTATAAACAACTTCTTTTCTTCTTATTTTGGAAATTTTCCTCTATCCCCATTCCTTCGATGTAGCTTTCTGCCAACCAAGGGGTGTGGTACTTGTGTGGGTGAAGATTTCGAAAATCTCATCCTGATTCTCATTACTGTGCAGCTTTATTCCGCTACATGAGAGATTATGCTGTCAAGTATCGTAATTTATCTCTCTTTGTTTGCATTGATGATAAACACACTATTAAAGTTGGGGAGCCCGGCTTTCCGTTAGCAGCAGCAGAGAGAGGTCGTGAGGTAATTGTGTCAACCAGTAATACATTTGTAGTAGGAGATTATGATTTTTCTAAATTTAAGATCACACCCAGTGTAACATTGCTAGTTGACATCCCTGACTCAATTGAAGGTTCTTTTTATACTGGTCAGGTCTTTATTGGGCTTAAAGACTCTGTATTTGAATTTTGAACCATCTTCACCTATACGTCATGCTACAGAATTATACAAGATCCTTCTGAGAAGAATGAGTGGTCGTAGTATTTTATTTGTTTACTCAGATGGGGGCCCTGACCATAGGCTCACGTACTTAACTGTGCAACTGTCTTTAATTGCTCTATTTATGAATCTTGATCTTGATGTTC